CTCTGCAAATAACTCATCCCGCAGAGTTCATTAGGCAGCTGCTTTACTTGAAGCCAGGTATTTTGCAGCAGCATTTCTGGGATATTTTTCTCTTAACATCTCTACTGAATAGCTATGCATAGCTTGGGCACTACTCACTCTGAAGTCTTTCTAGGCCAAACCCCTTCCTGTCTTGCTGGTGGAGTGTGAGTCTTGGGCAGCTCCCCCCCCCCCCCCCAGGACTGGAGTATTTCTAGAGTATGTAGGAGACGCGGCTTGAATCTGCTCATCAGGCATTGCTGGCCCATGGAAAATGACGATGTCTGCCAAGGGGGTGACTGGGGAGCTATGGGCAGAGATGGACCAGTGCCAAGTTCTGGGCAGAAAAAGTGAAAAATAGGAGAGGTTGCTGCAGCCCAGGCTGTAAAGGGATGATGGGAGAAGGTGCTACCTGGACTTCACTGGTGCTCTGGGTGGCCTGCGTCTCAGAAGCAGTTATGCTGCCACCCGTGCCCAGCGGGTGGGAGTGGGGAGCGAGCCCCACCAAGAGCTCTGTCCTCTGTGGCCTGCTGTGGTGGCCTGCTAGGGCGAGGGCAGAGCCGGCAGCTGGAGCCTGCTAGCGGTAGCCTCCCTGGGAGGGTGCAGGGCACAGGGCCTGGAGCTGAGGTGGCGACCCTTCAGGACCCGCTGCCCACTGCACATCAGGGAGGAGGTGGAACCCTACCTGGAGGCCTCAGTAGTGGTTTATCTCACTGTGGAGTCCAGAGCCCGAGTGCCCCGACCTTAGATCCTGGCAGAGAGCTACCTTGACTGGTTTCTCCAGCTTTCCCGAGGCCTGCTGTGAGACAGACCAGTGAGAGGGAGTCGGAAAAACACTCGGGATGGGGACAACATCATCTGTACCGTGTTTACCAGGGTCACCGTCCTGCTGGTTCCCAGCCACAAGCCTGCTGCGTCGCACCAGCCGTGGTCCGGTGCCCCTTGCTGAGTGCACCTGGGGTTGCTCCCTGTGGGTGCAAGTCCAGCACGGGGGTGGGGCGCTGCCTGCGCAGTTCCCCTTCTATGCTGAGGACCGGCCCAGGCTCTGGCTGTCTGAGCAGCTGCCTGACCAATGACTGTGTGAACACTGGGAGCAACATATCCAAGGAACTCGTCCCTGTTTCCTCTGTGGACACTGGAATTCTGTTGCAACGGATTTGATTTTCTTTCTTTTTTCTTATGTATTTTAGTAGAGGGACTACAGGGTCTCACTACAGAGATCAGACTCATAGTGATCCTCCTGTTTTCAGCCTCCCAAGTGCTGGGATTATAGGGCGCACCACCACGCCCAGTCTCTATTGCTGTCTCAGCGTGCCCTGGGGACGGGGCCGGCATGACACACTGGGGCTCGAACCCTGGTCCCTGCGCCTGTCGAAGCAGGCACTTTAGTCTGCTGAGTTATTTGGCTGGCCCTTTGATTTTCTTTTTGCTTGAGCTTCTGTCTGGGAAACTCAGATCCAAAGTTTCAAGCCAGCGAGTTTGGCTCTGTGAAGCACTTGTACTGTGTGTGTCTCTTGGGCTTTTGCTCTCATTTAGTTTTCAGTAGCTTATATATTTTTATTATACCACTTGTATAGGGCAGCTTTCCATGTCTGTAACAAAATACATGAGAGAATCAACTCGGGATGAGGAAAGGTTACTTGGCCCCTGGCTCTGGAGGTTCTGGCCTGCTGACCGTAGGAGGTTAGCAACGCGCTTCTCTTGGCCTGTGCCGCTGGAGACTGAGGTGGCCCAGTGGAGAAGATGTGACGCGCTGCTGCCCTCCTACCCCTCACCGCCTGAGCTGTCCACAGCGGCCATGTCAGCCATGTGTGACAAACCAGCAGGTGCAGGCCTCCTGTCACTCTCCCTTGTTGGCTGTCACCAGGGGTTCTGTGGGGCAAGGCCTCCCTCCCTTTTACTCCTTGGCAAGAGATGCAGCGTGCAGGGTGCCCCTGAGGAGCAAGGACAGTGATAGCAGAGCTGGCCCAGAAGGTGGCAAGCCTCTGGGTGCCTTGTCCCGCGGGCTCCCTTCCTTGGCACCACGGCCATGGCCTCTGGCTGCTCCCTAGCCCTTTGTGCTCTGCAGGTGATTCCTCCCGGCCTTCTTCCCAGGGCTTTCCCTGTCAGCCTCCTGACCATGCAGGCCCTCGGCTGTAGCAGCTTCTAGAGTGGCTCCCAGCCCCCAGCGTGAGACCCGCGCCCTCCTGACATTTCTTGTTTATTCCTCCGGCATCTCCCCCACGGTCACCCTGACTGTGCCCTCTCTGCTGTGTCCCAGAGCCATGTGCTGTACCAACGCATCCCAGGGCCTTCTCACCCTTTTAGGGCACAGTGGATGGGGGGCACCTCCAACTCAGGCTCAGATCGGAGTCTGTGGGCCTTATGCCTGTGCCGTCAGCCCTCTGACTGGGGGGCATGGGACTGAGGGCTGGGTCACCTCGGCCTCAGTGTGTCTGGGCTGGTAGGGTACATGATAGGGACCCCAGTCCTTCCGGTAACAAAGCCAGGTGGTGACGTGGCCGCAGGAAGCCTGTGCAGGATGGATTAACAGAGGTGTGGGCTGCTGGACAGAGGAGGATCCGTGGTTTTTTTTTTTTTTAGGTTTGTGTGTATGTGTGTTCAGGGTCTCACTAAGCAGCTAGGACTGGTAGTGATCCTCCTATTTCTGCCTCCCTAGTGTTGGGATTACAGGCATGTGCCACCATGCCTGGATTCCATCGCCGGCTCAGCATACCCGGGGGTGGGGCCTTGGTGGCAAGTGGTGCCGGGAATTGAACCCTGGCCCCTGCAGTTACCTAAGCCAGCACTTAGTCTGCTGAGCTATATCACCAGCCTAGGATCCGTGTTCTTACTGTGTGCCACAAACCTTGTGGTGGGTCTGGTGCTGGGTCCTGACTCACTGCAGTGTAGATGTGGCTACTCCCTGTGTCAGTGAGAACAGTTGGGTTGGGGGCATTTGTAGCCAACAGTTGGGACACTGAGAGAAAGGAGGAGGAGCTGGGACCCGATGGCTCTGGGGGGCACAGGGATTGGGCTGGCTTGGGATGGCACTACCTGCAGCGATGGAAATACACTACTTGGCAGGCAGCAGACAGACGTAGGTTTCTAGCAATTAAAATATGACTATAAATTGCAGATTAATCAAAATCTAAATAGCCACATCTGGCCAGCGGCTATTGTCTTGGCCAGCACAGCTCTAGAGACCAAAGAGTCTGGGTGGGTTCAGCAGGTTCTTCCTGTGGAAGGCACCAGGGTAGGTGATTGGGCCTTTGTGGGCCTTGGGGTCTTCATTCCCACTGCTTACTGAGGCAGTGCAGGTGACAGAGGGGCCAGGTGGGTTATGGAGGGCATGGTCACATGGTGGATAAGCACTGTCAGCGAGGGTGGCAGAGGGAGTCTGCTCACCACAGTGCCTGCTGCCCTTTCCTCCAGCCCTTCGGGCATGTTGGAATTAGGACACTTACATCTGCTGTGACGTTCACGGCGCTCTTCCTCTCAGCTGAGTGCTGCTGGGCTGAGACACCCAGAGGCACGAGTTGGCTGCCTTGCTTCAGCGATTCAGCTGTGTGCCTTGGACCCCTTAGAGGGCAGCTGATTGCCTACTCGTGCTCAGTAGATGTGTTGGCTTTCCATCATTGTGACAAGATACACGGGGTGACAACTTGTAAGGAGAAAAGGTTCATTTTAGCTTCTGGTTTCAGAAGAGGCTTGGTGGGCCTGGTACTTTGGGCCTGTGCTGGCCCAACACATACCTGTACCACATAGCACTGTGTCCAAGCTGGCGGAAACATTCACCTCAGGGGGCCAGGGAGGATGGGGTTCAAACATCCCAGCTAGGCCACACCCCACTGATCTCACTGCCCCCTTTTAAAGGTTCTACCCCATCCTAGAGGGCCTCTGTGGGAATTCCAGATCCGAACTGCAGAGGTAGAGAGGTTTACTGAGAGCATGGAAAGCCACCACACTGGTCTTACATTCTTGACATTGGGTCACAAAACTCTACACCCAAAATTTAAAGGAGAACTTTAAAAAAAAATCTTAAAGAGGGAAAGATATATTTTGGTTTGTATTTCAGTCCATGGTCAGCTGGCTCCAAAGGTGAGGCAGTAGAGACCCGGTGGAGAAGCTGCTCAAGTCATGGTGGCCAGGAGTGGAGAGAACCAAGGAACAGTGGGAGGGAGACATGCCCTTCTGGGTCAGGCAGAGTGAAAGCCTCCCCAGCCAGCCTCCTGCCTAATGGGACATCAGCTAGGTGCCCCATGGTCAGGTCCTCCTCTGAGATCCTGCTTATGAGCACAGGAGGCTCTTTGGGGGGGAGGCATCTAGATATAAATTACTTCATCCTAGGAGTGAACAGTCCCCAGCTGCACACAGTACCACATGGCAGACAGTGGGCGCTCAGCTGTGGGCTTGAGAGCCTCCTTTCAGCTAGCTCCTCATGTGGCTGGAGTAGGCCACCTGCACCAGTCTCCTCTCAGACGCGGGAAACCCTGCTTCCTTGGCAGCCTTGAGGCTATGTCCATGAGGACCTCTGAGACCAGAGTAGTGGGGACTAAACTCCAAGGAGCTGACCAGCTGCCCCTGGAGCTTGTTCACAGCTTTGCCTTTTCTCACTTTTTCCTGGCTTCTGTCCATCTTCCTTCTAATTAGCTTCTCTTCCAAATACACAGAATAAAAATAAACACCCTTCCTGCCTTCCAGTGAAGGGTCTGAAAGTGCTGACTCGACATTTTACATTTTTGTACCTTTAAATTCCAATCTGCGTCACCACAGATTTCTCTATATTGTTGTAAAGAATAGGTGACTTAAAGTTATGTGCAGATCCCAGCAGCTTAAGCCTACACAGTGGAAGGGAGGCAATTATGAAGCCCATATGCCTAAACCCAGTGTCAGCTCGTGCAGCGCAGTGTCACTACCCTGCTTCTGGGCCCTTTTGAAGCCACAAGGTGGAGTATGAGCTTCTGCGAGACTGACATCCTGGCTCTGTGGTTCTGTTACAGATCATTGCCTTTGACGAGCTCAGGACGGACTTTAAGAGCCCCATAGACCAGGGTAATCCTGTTCATGCGGTAAGTAGGGGTGCTGGGGACAGGAAGGTGGTCTCACACGGGCCACCAGGGGCTTGTGAAGGAGGCAGGTTTGAGGGAGTTGCACTCCTGCCTCTCACCTGCCTCAGGTCACTGAGAAGCATCCTGCCCTGGAAGCTGCTGGGATCTGAGATCTCTTATGGGTCCAAGTCCCTGTAAGCCAGGGGAAGGGTGTGCTGTGCTGTGTCCCCAAGACCTTGTGCCACTATGTTTTGTTTCTTGTCACTGATGAATAGAGGCCCCTTATGTCCTGAACACTTTCAGGCGACATAAGCAGCACACAGGTGCATCATCGTCTGCCCTGTTCCTGGTGTGAGGTTTCTGTGGAGGGTGGGCAATGCTCAGAGCTCCTGGTCCTCTGTCCCCAGATTGTGTTTCTGTCAGGAGGTTCCATCACCAGGTTGTTGTCCTGTCAGGTGATTCTGTCACCAGCGTGAGTTCCTGTCAGGCAGATCTGTCACCAGCCTGTGTTCCTGTCAGGCGGTTCTGTCACCAGCCTGTGTTCCTGTCAGGCAGATCTGTCACCAGCCTGTGTTCCTGTCAGGCGGTTCTGTCACCAGCCTGTGTTCCTGTCAGGCGGCTGCATGGCCCAAGGCTGCTCACTGCCCTTGGGGAAGCTGGTGTCATACATGGACGAGCTCTGGCTGCTTGGCTGGCTGGCCGGCTGGCCCCGCATGTTGCTTTGCCCTCTGCCCTGGCTGTGTACTAAAGCTGTGGAGGTAAATGGGCGGTCGGAGAAGCAGGGATGTCAGTTTTGATGGGGGAGAAGGAGTGTTGACTACTTCTGGGGTCAGCATAGCCCCCGCCCCCGCCCAGGACCAGTTGGGTGCTTACACAAGGCTTTCCAAAGCGTGGGGCTCACCTAGGGCATCCACATGGACTTGCAGCCATGCCCCCTGAGCCATGTTGGCCCCCTCTTCTGGCTGTGCTTTCTGACTGTCTGAGGAGCCCCATGGTGTTTTGGCCAGAGGCTATGGGAAAACACGGGTCCTGCCTGCAGGATGCCATCCTGCTCTGGCGGCTGACAGTGGCAATCACTAGGGACAGGGCCCGTGAGCTGTAGCTCCCGGGGAAGGAAGAGGAAGCTATAGGTGAAACGTGGGGCCAGGCCTCTGTGTCCCCCTCTGCAGTGTAGGGTTAGCACAGAGCTGTGATTACTTTAGTTTGTGCTGTGCACTAGGAGCTCTGAATTCACCCCTGCAATCCTCACTGCAGCCCTAGCCAGCGGACTTCTTACCCCGACCTGCAGCCCACAGCACAGTGTCTTTTGCCCAGCAGCACAGAGCCACATAGGGAAGTCAGGACTTGGTCCTGGGCCTGCCTAACTCCCTGACCACCTACTAGCTGCCACCCCAAGAGAAACTAGAGTTTATACCATCTGAGACCCCCTTTCATTCCAGTCTTTGATTTTACTAAGCAGAGCCAAACCCCTGTCCACTGTGTAAAGCAAATCTGTTGCGGGCTGGCAATATCCTTATGGCCCATTTGGAAATGCAGTGTATTTCACAAAGGCTGTAGGCACTAGAATCCACATGATTGCCACCTGCCACCACCATGAGAGCTGGAGTGCGGAATGTGGAAGAACTTGGCCCAGGTCCCGGATCGTCCCGATGCTCTAGGCTTGGCAGCAGATGCTCACACCTACCCTGCAACACCTACCAGGTCGCTTGGGTACAGGATGAGACGACCTGGGGCTCTGAAGGCCAGCGCGAGGTCAGAGCCTACAGCCAGCTGGGTGCGGGAGCCCTGCTCACGGCACACGGTGACAGCAGAGGGCCAAGTTGTGCAGCGAAGTGGTGGGATCTTGACTCTGATTTTTCTCCTCTTCTGCAGTGCTGGGGATCAAACTCAGGGCCCTGTGTGTGCTGGCAAGAGTCCCACCACCAGGCTGTGCCCCAGCTTTTGTTTTAAAATTCTGTTGCACCTGTACTTCCGAATCATTGGCTCCTTAAAGACTCTGGGCCTTCTGCCCCCAGACGAAGCCTTGGTTACCACCCCGGGAACATCACAGCCCCAGATAGGAGAGTGGAGGGCCTGTGCTTAGATGCTGCTCCTGGTGGCCGTGAAACACTTTGACCTCGTTTATTGCCAAAAGGGATCTGAGTTCGAGTGTGTCTCTCCCTGGCGATGGCTCTGGCCCTGGGAAAGCTGGTCACAAGTGCTTCTGCCCTGCAGTTTGCATTTCTCCTTTCCTTTTTTGTGGTTACTGTGCTTGGGATTAAACCTGGACTTGTGTACGGCAGATAGTGGCCCCATATCTCACTCCTGTTCTTGTTTAGACTCGGGAGGCGCCCTTGGACCCTCTGCTGGACCCTTGGTTGGGCAGCATGGGGCTGTCCTCTCCTTTCCCTTTCTTTCTCCAGCGAGCTTTACTAGTGCTAAAGCACAGAGGGGCTGCTCCCCAGGGGCAGTAGCTTGCGGAAGGAGCACGTGGCCCCCTCACATGTCCTGGCCTGCGTGTGCGTGAACCTGCCTGCATGTGTGCATAGTGCCCATGTGTTGAGGAGGGTGGACTCGCCTTCCAGCTGCATGGACGCTACTTGTCCTGCTGCCGGCTCCTGCAGGACACACAGGAGTTGCTGTCTTTACAGTTCAGTCAGGGAATGCTTAGTGTCCCATTCCCTGCCTTCTCTAGGGCCATGGGGACCTCATTGCCACCAAGAGTCCAGCAGCCCCAGTGCCTCGGTAGTGAGCCCTGGGAGATGACGTGGCGGTGTCTGGGAGGCTTTGGAAATGCAACGGCCTTGCAGGAAAAGGTGCCACGGCCTTAGCGTGTGGAGAGAGCTCCACCAGGCGTGGCGATGGTGACAGAGGGTGAGGAAGGCCAGGCACTGTGGCATGTGGGGTCACACTCCTCTCCTGTGGCCCGGGCTCCCCTAATTCTGCTCTCCTTCCTCCCTGTGCACCTCAGAGGGAGAGGCTGAGGAACATCGAGCGCATCTGCTTTCTTCTGCGCAAGGTCAGTGGGGTGTGGGGAGGCTTGTGGGGCTGGGGCTCGGCTGTGTCTGCTGCCACTCTGGCCACACTGAGCATGCGCATCAAGGAGAGGAGGCGCTCACACTGGGCATGCGCATCAAGGAGAGGAGGCGCTCACACTGGGCATGCGCATCAAGGAGAG